TTTTTTTACAAATTGAGTGCACCTGATCTCATAATGAGATCGTCTTGTGCCTGAAAAGTACTAATTAATTAGTGTTTGAACATTTGATATGTGATATATTCTAAGCCTACTTGTACCACAGTACAAGACCTTTTTGTCTTGTACTGTGGTTGTGGGAAATCTCTTAGTGTTGGTTCTATTTTTGTACATGAATTTCGCAATATGAAAAATATACAGATGTTTCAAATCGAGCATTTTACTTTCTATGAAGAGCTGTTCGCTGGAAAATCTGCGCCTTTTCCTCAGTATTTCAAAATCCATTTCTGTGTGACTTTCAAACAATTTATCTGATTAAAGATCCGTATCGTCCGCATAAAGATTAATAAAGATTACGTAGGTATATCCGTTTATCTTCCAAAAGAATAACAAGATATTTGATGATTTCATATGAATACCAATTTCAAAATCATCTTTCTGCATAATAAACTCGTCCCAAGATAAACAAGTAATATGTAAAATTCGTAGAGAAATATTTCAAAAGGGAAATCCTATCAATTAATTTCTTGATGTTCTAGAATATGTAGAAACCCAAGACATGGCCATCTGTGGTTTTCCTTGGTTGAGATAAAATCGTAATGTTTTTTAATGCACGTGTTATTAGTCATTGATTGAATGTCGATAATAGCTCATAATAGATACAAACCACACCCAGCTATTATACGACTTTTATATCTCAGTGATTGGATAATTCAACCGCGAAGATGATATTGCCACCTACTTTCTTTCAAAACGCGGAAATTTAGCCAAGGAGTGGTTTCAGTCAAATTGCCTTCGTTTTAAACAACAAAAAAATGTTGTATAATTGGACACTGGGAAGATCTTGAGAAGTATCTATCTCTTAATAATCGTTTATAACACTTTCAAATGAGGATAGTTTCAGCAGTTTCTCATTTGCTGGAGTCGCAGACAAACGTTCTGAAAAATGTTTATCTCTTTGCAATTGTTTATTTGAAAATAATTTAGTTTTTCATCTATCAATTTATTTTCAAACAATTTTTTTTAAATTTTCTCTTCCCATTCCTTGAAAATTATAGGTACGTAGTGACAATTTTGGTAATTGTTCGATAACGCCTTCATTTAATTACATTGTCTCCACATGTTAATTAGCCATTTTCTTTGGAAAACATTGTCCGTTGTTTCAACTTTTCACAGAAATTTTTCTGTAATATTCAATTGTGATTAGGAGATTTTTACGTTGGAATGTGAAGCTGCATGAAATTTGGAAAAAAATTGCAAGAAAATAAATAAATCGATGAGAGCCCAAATCATTTTCAAATAAACAATTCCATCGGTTGCAGATTGAGTCAATAAACCACTTTTTCTCAATGGTATATTTTCATATTTGCGTTATTTTTCATGCTAAATGTAAAAAAATAGCGAAATACGTCAAAAATGCCCGTTTCTTTTATAAACAAATGCAAATAACAGTTGATTAATTATATTTACAAACTTGTTGGAGAGCTATTTGAGAGATCTATCAATTCTCCATAAAAATGTATTCAATGTTTATTTCAAAATCTCTAAAAGTTTTACTGAGTGACTAATTCAATAATTACCTTATGTCAATAATTCCGAATCCATCCGTAACTCCTGTTTGTACAACCGTCTTTGTCTTTCCATCGCACATGTGATAGGACACGCAGATATGAACACCTTGATCGGAACCTTCTCCGCATCTCTGAAGGGCTCCGAGACTGCCCCCCGATTTTGTGGTGACTTCTTCAAAACCAGGGGGAGCTATGTCATTCCCAGTCCTTCCAGGAAACACCTGATCCACCAATCTTCTGGTAGTGTCGTTGACGGCTTGTCCAAACGCCAGCGATATCGTCAGTGATAAAATTATCGCCGCCTTCATTTTTTCTCGATGGAGACCGCAGTCAAGGTTGTATACCAAATTCGCAACGTTGATTGGGAGTAAACAACTACCTCGATGGAATTTCAAAACTGACTTGATCGAAATTAAGCGGTAGTTGTTTGTCCACACAAGCCTTCAGTGCTTCAATCCCCTCTTTTCATCGACAGAGGATTACTTGATATCATGGAAATACCAGACCGAGTCGAGCTTATTTGTTTCTTTTCAGTAGCTTCTTCGATTAAGTCATGACATCATTCGGTGAGATAAAATACGTTGGTTGATATTGAAAGGTCAAGATTAGAAAAGAATTAGAAAAAAAACTATTAACGGGAAATGATACTGTTTGTCTGATAATGACACGAGGTTTTTACATCAGACAGGACGATATTTATTAGCAAAACACTGTTGATTTTTGAATAAGTGTCTTTCAAATTACTGTATGGCGAGTTTGTGAAAATGAATCTGACTCATCAAATTATTGAAAAGCCATTTTTTAAATTTTTTTTCTTCAACAAAGTTCTCGTCCGAAGCTCTCAAAGAATAACTATAAAAACATCCAGGATTCCTTTTTAAGAATCAGGTTTTATGTATGAACATTTAACTTGAAAAAAATATCAATCGACAAAAGTATAATTCTGAGAAAAGTGACGATAAAATTTTTATCAAGTAACCATTATTTCATTCCTTGATATTCATATTTAACGGATACATTTCGATCCCACTGTTTCAGGAGGTAAAAATGGCTGCTTTTCAAAGACATTTTTTCGGTTTTTGAAGTATTCGCAGAAACCTAGCTCCTCTAGTGCAGTGTGACAAACTTGTCTTCTTTGGTTTTTCTCGGAGAGAAAATTCACTCTTAGGAAACTATCTGAAAAATCATACTCGAAGACTAGTTGTAGATGGAGTTGTCTCGGATGCTCTACCGGAAGTGCCACAAGGATATATCCTTGGGCTCTTGCTTTTCAGATTGTATTTTTTTGATTTTCATCTGTTTATACAAAAATATACATCAATACGCAGACAACACGCAGTTATATTCCGATTCTTCCGTCTTCTACTAATAACGAAAGAGGTAAGAGTAGCTTAATTCAGACTGGGAAGTTCACCAACCTACAACGGATTGAGCCAAACAGAAATGAAGCCCAAATAAAATGAGAAGCTCAACATTTTTACACACAACCAAGTAACCCTCATTAGTAGAACTACATTGACACTGGTCTAAAAACGTAGTTAATAACTGAGAACNGGCCAATATAAGGTTTGGGGCCAAACCGCAAGTCAACTTAATTGACAAAGAGCAGATGACATATATATGAAGAATGAAGACTTACGAGTAAATCCGATGACATTGGATGACAATAAGTAGTTTTATAATATATATAAGTCACTCGTATAAAATTTATTCATGTGAGTGTGTTAACCTGTAAAATATATTCTAGTTCACTGATTTCATGAATAAATGAATAAATGAATATTCGACTCACAATTTGTTATGTGCCTCATTATAATTCGAGTATATTACAAGGTATATCTCATGCGATAATTAATATATGACTGTTTTTTTAATGTGGGTTCAATTATGTTCAGTTGCAAAGACAAAACTTAGGAACCTAATTATTTTTTTCACGAGTAGGCACCGATCATAAAAATATAATGATATTATTATGTACTCACAAAGTAACAAAACTAATTCCGTGTTGAATCTGTGCTTAGAAATTATCAATATCAATCAAAATATCAATGATTTCTTGCGGTTCCTATAGCTATCAGAAATTCAAAATCCCTATCTTCGATTATAAATCTGTAAAATTGTAGGTCAGGAGGTCAAAGTAAAGTCAGCAAGAGAATGCCATTGGACCGAGTTCTATTAATTTTTGGATCAAAAGATATTCTTTTTGGGATCAAGGTACTTGGTGGATAATAGAATGCCAACAAAAAAATGTATCGTGATTTTCCTCCTAATAATACCTCAACTAGAGTTGAAGATTCACATGAAAACCATGATAGTTTTTGAAATGAAAGCCTAGATTTTTTTTGAAGTCATTCTTTGGAGGCTTCAGAAAAGATTATTGGTGGAAAAACTGGAGAATTCGGAATTTAAAAAATATGGATGAAGGAAAAACATAAAAAACTGATGTTTTACATTTGTAAATTTGCAAAATTAAATTTTTTTTCTTCATCAAAGTTCTCGTCCGAAGCCCTCAAAGAATAACTATAAAAACATCCAGGATTCCTTTTTAAGAATCAGGTTTTATGTATGAACATTTAACTTGAAAAAAATATCAATCGACAAAAGTATAATTCTGAGAAAAGTGACGATAAAATTTTTATCAAGTAACCATTATTTCATTCCTTGATATTCATATTTAACGGATACATTTCGATCCCACTGTTTCAGGAGGTAAAAATGGCTGCTTTTCAAAGACATTTTTTCGGTTTTTGAAGTATTCGCAGAAACCTAGCTTCTCTTTTCAGTGTGACAAACTTGTCTTCTTTGGTTTTTCTCGGAGAGAAAATTCACTCTTAGGAAACTATCTGAAAAATCATACTCGAAGACTAGTTGTAGATGGAGTTGTCTCGGATGCTCTACCGGAAGTGCCACAAGGATATATCCTTGGGCTCTTGCTTTTCAGATTGTATTTTTTTGATTTTCATCTGTTTATACAAAAATATACATCAATACGCAGACAACACGCAGTTATATTCCGATTCTTCCGTCTTCTACTAATAACGAAAGAGGTAAGAATAGCTTAATTCAGACTGGGAAGTTCACCAACCTACAATGGATTGGGCCAAACAGAAATGAAGCCCAAATAAAATGAGAAGCTCAACATTTTTACACACAACCAAGTAACCCTCATTAGTAGAACTACATTGACACTGGTCTAAAAACGTAGTTAATAACTGAGAACTGTGGTGGAAATTAACAAATTTACTCTAAATCAAGTACAAGGGTAGTCAGTAAATATGGAAAACGAAAAAGCTGTTGAGTGGATCATCACTTCATATATGGGGCAAACACAGGAATCTGGAAAAAAGATTGTGCTAATCACTGTGTTAGCACCTGAACGAAATAGAGTATATACTGGAGATCTCGGCTATGATAATGCAAAAACAAAAACAGCTCCTCAGCTGCGAATATGAAGGAGGGTATCTCAGAAAGGATACAACTCATGGACTCTGTTGAATAACTCCATCGAAGAAGGCTCAGGATGTGGAGTGTACTCCACATCACTAAGCCTAAGGATTAAGTGGGGAATGGNTCAGTTTGAGAGGATTTCCTTCCACAGATTCTTCACGGAGGATGGCTACCATCCAGGGGAATTCCCCGAACTGCGCCTCGTTGTCTTTGTCGCCCGTTATTCTGAAGCCGACGCCCTCTGGGTGACGATAGCCACATCCGGCAGGTTTTACTGGGGGCTGGGGTGTAGGTATCGGATCTGGTCGTATGTCTCCCGCATTGCAACACATCTGGAGATAGTTGTTTCCGCATGGACCGTCGTTTATTCTGAAAATAAAGTTTTATAGTGATAGATTGATTTTTTGTTCAAATGTTAGGTTAGGTTAGTCCTCTTCCTATTGGAAGACCCAACAGTAGAAGTACTGTTGTTCAATATCATTGGGGAGCCTATAGGGTGGACCAGGAAACCTGTTTATACCGCATGGATTTTGACATCAGAGATTCCATAGACCTAGAGTTGGCAGCAGATCGATTACAGGGAGCTATCATCTACAACGTACAACGAACATTGTCCCATAGTAAATCAGAGATGAAGATCTGGAATGAAGATCTGGCTGGATGAGACAAAAAACTAGAAAATCCTTCAAATGTGCAAGGAAATCAGGTTCATGGGACCAATACAGAAGGTCCCTAACTGAGTATAAGGAAGTCCTGAGAAAATCCAAGAAAGATACGTGGGGAAGGAATGTAAGGAGGTCAAACAGACCCAAGCATGTGCCAGGCTCTACAAAATACTCTCGAAGGAACCTCAGGTTTCAATAAATAATCTGAAAACAAATACGGGGGAGTATACAAAAACCGGAGAAGAGACTATCAGAGAGTTTTTCTGGGTACACTTTCCCGGGTCAGAAATTACAAATCTAACACCGGAGTCCTGGGCGAATTCAGAACTGGAGACCCCGAAAAGGGCATCCAGGGAGGACTGGCAAATGACAAAGAAGGTGGAGAAAATTAAATGGGCTGTAAACTCATTTCAACCTTTTAAGTCGCCGAGACTTGATGGCATATACCCAGTAATGCTTCAAAGGGGACCGGAAGTAATTTTCAAAAAATTGTGTATAATTCTCAGGGCAAGCTTAGCACTGGGACACATGCCAAAAACTTGGAGACTGATCAGGGCCACCTTCATTCCGAAACCTGGACTCGGCGAAGGCTTTGAGACCAACTAGTCTGATGTCATTTGCGTTGAAAACGCTAGAAAAACTACTGTAACATAACTTAACATAAGCCCATCCAAATCGAACATACCATACAAGAAACACAAGTGTCGAGAGGGAGGTTAAATATCTGGGAGTAATCCTAGATTCCAAACTTACCTGGAACCAACACTTGGACGTGATAAAGAGGAAAGCGGAGGTAGCACTGATGCTCGACAGACGCATCTATGGAAAAACATGGGGGCTAAAACCAGACATGGTATATTGGCTATAGAAGAATGAACTTGCGAATAGGAACAAATTAACTTCGTACTGGGTGCCAGGGCATACAGGAATCACAGGTAAGTAATGATAAAGCTGATGAATGCGTTAGACGCGGATCATCAACTTCATATATAGGTCCTGAACCAGCTCTGGGGTTGCCCAAAATCATTGGTACGAAACCAGATTAGGACATGGACCAACAAGAAGCACACAGAGTACTGGACAAAAGTACCTGGCAACAAACACGGTAGAACCTTCATTAGGGAACCGTCCGAGAAAAGAACGGAAGAACTACTTCAATATAGTAGGGATCGGCTCAGAATAATTGCAGGGTTACTAATCGGTCATTGTCCGCTTAGAGGACACCTGAACAAAATGGGGCTGTACAACGGAGACCTCAGCTACAGATTATGCAACAAAGGGATAGAAACATGCGAATGTGAGACACTGAATCACAGGAGGCAGGCAATATATGGACGTACAAAATTACGCCGAGAAGAATGTGACGAACATCCAACCTGTACAAACTTGTACAGGAAATGAGACTCATGGAATGGGTGTCATGAGAAGATGGGAGAACAAATGCAATAAGCCCAAGAGGCTGCAATTTTTTCTGGAGACTAAATGGACAAGTAAGACAGCTCCCAAGGGACAAAAAAAATATTACTTTACCTTATATCGATAATCCCCTCTCCATTCTTATTGATCGTTCCGTTGTTGCAGAGATAATAGGCAACGCATGTACAGTCTCCGGTCCCAGGAATCCCTACGTCTCCTCCGCCACTGTTCGGTTGGAGATTGACGTCAGGGGCGGACGTGATTGGTTGTAAAACTTTGTCATCTGTATTTGGTTTTTTGAACACCTCCCCGATGAGGTCGTCTAAATTTTGACCTTGTCCGCAGGAGCAGAAAAGACCAAGGAGGAGGGCTGCATACCACATCGTCATTTTCTGGAAAGAATAGTGTGTTATAACCAAAAATCTGAGATTTTGTTTGTGAGATTTTTAGTGGACAGTTTACAAAACGGCAACACGAACGTACAAAGTACGTTCAAAAATGAGGTAATACTCTCAGTAATAAAAATATTTACGGTGTTCCTCAGGGTAGTATTTTGGGCCCACTTCTGTTCACCTAAATATATCTAAAAAGTGTCCCCCTCAAAAGCAAAATTGACCTGTCCAAGCATTTTTGCGTTAAGTTACAAAAAAAGGAGAAAAGCAAAGTGCATACTTTTCGTTGGACCACTCGATATATTCCGAAAATAGTAGCAATTTTTATCATCATATATTTTTCATCTGGCGCTCCATTTATAAACCTCTGGACTTGTTCAAAAGTAAGACTTTTCGATATTTTGGGCCTAAGGTTTTATAATGTGAGTGAAAAAGTTTGCGAAACGAGCGTAGCGAGTTGAGCAATTTCACAAACCTTACTTTACCTTACACTCATGTTATAAATAGCTATTTCGTCTCGCCCTCATATGATACGTAGTGAACAACAAAAATGTTGAATTCCATTAACATCGTAGGTGAATCTCAAAAGTTTATGTATTCAATTAACACCAGCTCATCAGGCTTCTTCTTGGAATTTGCTTACGCGATAAACCGAGTAAATAATTATTTCGCGAGTATCTTTTCCAATCCAAAATATAGTCAGCGGCACTCCTACTCATCAATTCTGCTTTGAAATAATTGTTCTCTCGACATAATTTATTATCGAGTTGAATCTCGGCAGTGAAGATAATCATGTACATGGATTAACCTTGGCTGAAATAATTAATACTATAAAAAACTAATCCCGACTAAATCATTCGCGGTTTGCAAAAATTCTCTAGAGTAGTTATTGTGTTTTAATTCAGTTTCCGGTTTGCAGGTAAACAGTGTTACCATCACAAAATATATTTATTATATAGGAGCTATGAAAAAGTTGTTGAAATCATGTTTTTATAACACACAGGTTGTCATGTCTGACATTTCGTCAAGCACTGCGGCAGACATTATGAAAGGCAATGAGTTAACGATTGAAATGCTCGACGAAATTCTCAACGCAAAAACTCACGACCGTTATAGTCGAAGTAAACGATATTGTGCACTCTTAAAGTTGGCGGCACTCTCAAAGGCCGAAAAAATCAATACAAAGAAACAATTTCGCTACGAATTAGTCCACGTGGACTGAAGAAGTGGCGGTTCGTATTGGATTATTTTTACTAACTGAGTTTTGATTGGCTGAAGAGTCATAAAATAAAATTTGAAGTCGTGTTACGCTGACGAATGGAAATCGGGGAATGCGGGATGGTTATCGCCGTCGTGTTCAGTTCAGGAACTGATCGCGATTTGAGTGAAACTAGGATTTAGATTTGAAATAATAAACAAACGTCAAACAGTTATGGAAAGCAGTAGAATAGTGGAATTGCCTAACAAATACTTAGAACAAATAACTAAATATAGAAAAGAACAACGGCAAATTTTCTATTTGGACCAAACTTGGTATGACACTCACGACATAGTTATGAAAGGGTGGACTGATGGTTCGAGAATGTGTTCGCCTAACATGCCTACAAACAAAGGATCGCGACTAATCATTGTGCATTACGGAGGAAATGAAGGATGGGTCCCGAATTCTTTGAACTTATGTTGTAAACAACTTAAGGACTGCAATGTTGACTATCATAAGAACATGGAAGATAATATTTTCGAGGAATGGTTTGATAACACATTGATCCCAAATTTGGATGAGAATTGTGTAACAGTTCTTGACAACGCTTCCTATCAATCGCGACAGCTCATCAAAGTACCGAATAAAAATTCGAGGAAATAATGAAATAAAAAGTTTTTCTTCGAGTTGATTTGTGGAAAATTGAAACAAAGCATCAGGCGTAAAAATAATTTTCCAAGAAGGTAATAGAGCTAATTGAAGAAGTACCTAATATTATCGAAGAAGACTGGCAGAAAAGGATTAAAAAAGTAATTTTAGTTGAAAAAGACTATATGGAGATTAGACACTTCCATATTAATGGTGGAAATAAATTCATTATTGATTCAAATGACGATAGTGATAGTGAAACAGAGAATATGGAAGAGGAATCATCAGAAGCTTTCGAAGAAAGTGAAGTGCTTTTGAAGCGATCGATTGTATATATAGGTATGTGAGTGAATAGTATTCAGAAGTATTTTCAATTAAGTTCAAGTAAGACATCATGTATTTCATACAGACAAGTACGTTTGTAACTTTGCACACTTATTGAACACCTTGTATATCGATAACAATTCTGAAAGCAAGACTCGTTCTTCGCTTCTCAGAAATGAACGTGTGAAACCCATTTCAAAAAACATCAAATGCGATTCAATACCCACCAGAAAAACAGATTTGTTTCCTTGAGTTGATGATTTTGATGGAAATTAATTAAATTTCCCCATTATTAACCAGCCAGTAAGTCAAATTCGACACTGGTGATGCAGTTTTTCTCTGAATGACAATATAAAATGACTAATAACTGTGAGTGCGACAATTTTCGTTTCTAAAAACCGTCGAACCATCACTTTGACCACCCCTGTATGAAACAAACCATTTCCCCCAAAGAGTTGATTGTGAAAAGCTACCAGGAGTATCCCATGGGCTTCACAACATCCAGAATTGCCCGACAATGACGATATAACTACAAGTTCACCCGATTCCAACACTCCACAGAAAAAATCGCCAAAAACCAAACATCAAACTCACCTTCCGACTGGAGTAAACAAAATCAGCTCAGACACTACCAACTCTTAGCGTGTATCATCTACCAATCCACCTTCACACTGTCCAGTACTGACAGTATTTCAAAATGATGACGTAGTTCAGCGGTCAAAACATAATACCGACATGCGCCAAGAGCACTCAACTAATATTCACAAAGAACCAACAATTTACATTTTATTATTACAGATTATCGAGAGCTCGAGATCAACTGCAACGGGAAATCCCCGCCATGAATTCTCGGGAGTTTTGAGAGACATGGAATCGGGGATTTCGACTCTAGTTCGGCCAGTAATGTGGAATTCAAGGAACACAGGATTGACCTGGAATTCAACTGATATCAAGATCATTTGTCGAAATCGTGGTGAACCTGGGAATACCTATTAGCATATTGAAGGTTAACGATATACAAGTNGGATTTCGACTCTAGTTCGGCCAGTAATGTGGAATTCAAGGAACACAGGATTGACCTGGAATTCAACTGATATCAAGATCATTTGTCGAAATCGTGGTGAACCTGGGAATACCTATTAGCATATTGAAGGTTAACGATATACAAGTATGATTTCACCATGCAGAAGACCTCGAGAGAGAAGTGAACAATACTCGTTTTGTTTGTAATGTAATTTGCATAGCCAAATTCATGCTTATCTGGGATTTATTTTTCAATAGATTGACGCTCTTGGATATGGACGACTTTTGACACGTTTTTGACAATTTCTTAAAAGCTATCATCTTTCTCATTGACATCGACATATAATTTGTCAATGATAATGCGACTGAAGTTAGTTTTCAACTGTAATTTCCGTTGTCACAAACAAATGAGCGTACTGTTCAATTTCATTATTCACATGCATAGACGTGCCCTCCTGTCAAAAGCTCGTTATAACGGGTGATTTTTTAAGAGGTATAGGATTTGATTTTCAAAACAACACAAAAAATTTGAAAAAATTGATGAAACCGTTATTGGAATCGATAGAACGATCAATATAATTTAATTTTTGAAGATAATTTCATGCAATATAGTCCGTCGCTTCGCTTTAGATGGCCCATGTGTAAGGTCCAATTTTGGCACACTCTCTCTAACATATCGACCGGTATTTCACGTATAAATGCTTCAATAGTGGCTTCCAGAGCGTCAGTCGTTGCTGGTTTATCCCTGTAGGCATGAGCCTTACATGACCCCTCAAGAAATAATCCAAAGGCGTTAAATCACACGATCTAGGGGGCCAATTTACGGGCCCCAACGTGAGATAAGCTGTTCCCGAAGGCGGCTCCTAATTGGGCCATTGTTTCGCGTGCCGTGTGGCATGTGGCGCAGTCTTGTTGAAACCACATGTCAGACATCTCAAATTCTTCCATTTTGGGCAACAAAATGTTGCCAATCATCACACGGTAGCGCTCGTCATTCACAGTAACGTTCCAGCCATTGTCGTCTTTGAAGAAGTACGGCCCGTTGATGCCACCGTCCCATAATCCACACCAAACAGTGACTTTTTCGGGATGCATCGGTAGCTCTTGCAATGCTTGTGGCTTGTCTTTACTCCAGATGCGGCGATTTTGCTTGTTAACGTATCCATTCAACCAAAAATGATCCTCGTCGCTGAACAAAATTTTTCGATAAAAATGTGGATCTTCCTCCAACTTTGCCAGCGCCCATTCACCAAATGTTAGACGTTATGGGAGGTCGTGTGGCTTCAATTCTTGCATCAGCTGTATCTTATAAGGTTTCACACCCAAATCCTTTCGCAAAATGTTCCACGTAGTGAAGTAACAGAGGCCCAATTGCTGCGAACGGCGGCGAATCGACATTTCACGGTCATCACGAACACTGGCGAATACAGCCGCAATATTTTCTTCGGTCCTCACTCTACGTATGCGTGTTGGTGGTTTGATGTCCAATAATGTAAACTGGGTTCGAAATTCAGTCACAAGCTTCCGAATAGCTCCCTCAGTAGGCCGAGGAAACTACCCATAAATTGGAAGAAGTGCACGACGCACTTTTTTAACCGAGCATGAATTTTGATAATAAAATTCAATAATTTCCAAGCGTTGTTCATTCGTAAGTCGATTTATGGTTAAATTATAGATCAAACTGAACAAGTTTGACAACGACATAAGACACGATTCACGCGTGATCTGTCAAAAACAGTGTTGCCAAAAATATTCCAGCAAAAAACTCACTCATTATTATTTTTCGGTACTTCCCTGACGGTTTTTCTTTGAAAAAGTAGCATTTTGCCAACTTTAACAGCTCGATACTTGCTGGTGAAAGGTAATTATCTCTAACACATCAATAAATAGTTCGTCATCCCACTAACTAACCTATTAATGTCTGGTGAAAGTGGATCTTAGTGGCAGTTTTTAGTTTTTTCAATCATTCACTGGATTCTTCCAAACTTTGACAGTTGATAACGGCCGGTATACTCAACATGCCTATGATGGCTGAATGTTTTTCTATTAAGACCCCTTTTGAGCTATTTTGAAAAATTCATAAAAATAAGAAGCCCCTTTTTTCTTTATAGATATTTGAATTTGGACACGTTTTGTTGCAAAAACCTTCACTTTAGGAAATGGCGGCGACTGATGACAGTGAAATTCGTGTCAAAGCCATATGATTGTTCAACTAGATACGCATGACCTACACTTGCCAGTTCTATCGAAACAAAACATTCAATTCATTAATTGATAATTGTTATGATCTCAACCATTGTGAATGAGCAAATTTTAAGGTTAGGCGAATCCTTTGTTGCTCTTTATCCGGCCCGAAGGACCATTTATTAATTGGTTGCATATCAGTAATGTGGTAGTAATGATGGAAGAAAAGACGATGAAGATACATTGTACTTCAAAAGCATAAAAGAATTTGATTGGATCTATTTCTGTGAGGCTAGAAAATAACGGGAATGGTTTTTTTGTGGGACAAACGGTGCGAACCTCTAAGTCATACGCCTAATCGCTGGGCATTATCCTTCATATTGCAGCCGGTTGAACGACACTAGTTTGCTCAGTTTGCACGTTGCCTTTGTTGATATCGGTTGGTGGTTACTTCATCAGGCCAATGTTTCACCTGAAACTGCATTTCTTGGTGAATACTTTGAGCATGGTTTGCTTTTCATGGCAATAAACTTAGTGTGGAAACCTATGATATAATCAAATCCCTACATAACATATATTTCAATCAAATTGTGCAAACATCCTTTGGCATGTCAATTTGTATTATTGAAAACCCACATTATTGAATAAAATGGTTCCATACACTTTCAGCTTTCTATTTTACAGATTATTATCTTCAAAATTTTTAAATTGTTCAAGAAGTCAAGTTGCTTTTTTTTAGATAGCAATGAAGAGAAGGAGGATTGTGAATATTTTAACAACTGATGTGTTGAAATATAGTCATTAGTAATTTCAACTGAAACTTGAAAGAAAACAAAGCAAAACTCTTTTACTAATCAGAAATTTACATGGAGTTGAAAACTTTCATGAGAAAAATTGATTTCTGGAAATAAAACCTATCTTTTTGTGTTTTTCCAACTAAATATTTCCCCAGAAATTTTGAACTTTTCCAAACGATGAGGATTTTCTGAGAAAAATTAACTATTCGGTATCGTATTAAGCCCCTGTATGTTATTTAGGTTGCATCTACAAAACCATTCCAGAGCTCCGCTATTGACAGAAGATTGATAAACAATATCTAAGTATATTCTGAATGATCTTTCAGCTGACCTTTTTATGAGTAATATGAACGACGAATTGGGTTTTTGACCCAAACAAGATAAGGCTTATCAGTATTCTTTGAAAGACATTTTTTTGTGGAGAAGTCAATACTTCTTACTGTTTTTTGGGTATATAGCCTTCTACAATCTGAAAAATCAACAATCAATCGAAAAAAACTAAACATTTATACTTAGCTTTCTTTAATGTTTGAGGAAAACAATCTTTTTCGTTTTCAAAACCTGAATTTCACTTTAAAACTTTTGCCTCAGTTTGTGAATAGCTCTAATTCTTTTGAGAATTGAGACGCATCGGTTATAGATGTAATGTAAGGACAAGTTTTAGGACTATCAATACATTGAGATCTGTTTTGACACAAACTAAACCCGTAAATACGGCTGAAAAAACGGAAGATTATATTCATAATGGACCTTGCTCCTGTGGAAAACTTATATAGGTCAAACATCTAGCTCCCTAGATGTCAGACAAAATGAACATCGTGAATATATAAGGAGAAGACAAATGGAAGGATCACGCTATAGAATGGAGTGAAACAAAAATCATCAGCGAAGAATCAAGAACAAATTAGAAAACTCTGAGAATCCGTATATAATCTTTTAACAGCTGTGTGGAAATGGATCATACCTGGTTGAAAACGAAAATATGAACCTCAACTGAATTCTCAAAAAACATCTAGTGTATGTATTCAGAATTAGGGAACTGGGCGTCATTGATATTAGAGTAGACTCATAAAAACGGATGGTTGTACCTCAGGGGTCTATTCTAGGGCTACTGATTTTCTACCTACGGCAGATAAGGTAAGCACTGAAAATATAATTGTGTATGCAAATGCACTACAAAAGCCGCATCTGTAATAACAAAACTTGAAGTTTTTACCTAGGTATTCATGTTATAGTGGCAAAGATACCTAAATTCAGAAAAACTTTCTTTATGCAGCTTTAGTGGAACATGCGGACATGCAAAACGAATCTCTCCTCAGAACATTCCCGTTTCCAATTTAAGTTGAACAGATTGCCTCTAAAACATACATCGATCCCAGACATGAGTTTTTTTAACACGCTTTCATTAGCTTCATCTGTATGTATGTATGTATGTTTGTTTGTAACTCTTAAGCTTGGGATCTGTATTTGACAGAATCATCGACATGCTTGATCTATTCGCGTGCAGATGGCGCTATACGTAACATCCTTGATATAATTCGAACTCACTTTACATGTATTTGTTCATTTGTAAAAAGTATTTTTTTATAAACATGCGCGCCTGCTTTATTTGTAACCCTTCTGTGCGCGACGGTTGCCTTGGGCTTGGTATCTGATTTTAGGCTCCCTCTTCGGAATCGGAAAATATCAATGGTCATTTTCTAAACAATATACGGCTGATTGATCCCAGAGTTTAGATAAAATTAATATAGTTTAATAAGACTAAAAACACGCTTTTTAGTTCGATGTTCTTTAAAAGCGTGTTTTTTACTTTTTTAAACTATATTCATTGTAATAGTAGTGATACCATGTTAATTTAATGTTATATCTATTTCAAACATTAAGCCCTTTTTATTAGGTGCTTGATTCAACATCATTATGTTTGATTACACAGGTTGAACTACTTAATATTAATGATATGATTCACTTTTGAGATTGCACCATTGTCATACATTGTTCCAAGCATCACAGTCTTGAATAACTTCTTCACAGCTATGAGAGGAGTCAAGGGGAGTTAGACTGGGTGTATGAGGTGATCACCCTCTTCTCCCTAATACTGATAACTTGACGAATCGAGGCCAGCCAAATCCATCTGCTCATCAATCCAGTTCCTGAACTTTGCGACATTACCATAAACCCCCGGGATCTGATCTTCTCCGCAGCCGATACCCCAAGCCACAATACCAGCTTGGAAGTACCTATCACGTGACCCAGGAATGGGGCAGACAAGCGGACTGCCTCCGTCACCCTTACAAGTATCTTTATTGAGTTCCCCTCCAGCACAGATGAAGGTAGAATGGAGATTGAAGAACCTCCCCAAGCGGGTGGTGCGGAGTTTGTCTTGGCATTGGGGACTGGGTACGATGGGGAGATCGATTTTCTTCAGGATAACTTGGTACTTTCCCTTCTTGCCGAAGATGTCTTTGCCCCAGCCAGTAGCGAAGCATCTTCCTGACTGCACCACGTCATCCTGAAGGGGTAAGCAGGCGGTTCCAATGTGTTCCATCATTTCTACGGGGGATTCAAGTGTTAGCAAAGCCACGTCGTTGTACAGAGCCCCGGAATAATACTCGGGGTGGATCGTTACGGACTTGACCAGTCTGTCCTGGTACGGGTATGGCTCAGCTTTGTGTTGGGAGTCCCACTCGCCAGCTCTGACCTTGAAGCTTTTGTTCCTGTCGCTAACGCAATGAGCTGCTGTCAACACCACTTTGGGGTGGATGAGAGATCCTCCACATTGGTAGACGTGTGTTTTTTCCCGCAAAATCGCCACCATCCAAGGGAACTCGCCGAATTGTGCTTCGTTGTCTGTGTCGCCAGTTATCCTGAAGTCGATCCCTTCGCTATTGCGGTAACCGCATCCAGTGGGAGATTTGACGTTGGGTCGGGGGGGAACAGTTGGTTCGAGTCTGATGTTTTCCAGGCTACAGCAGGTTTCCAAGACGTTCGAGCAAGGGTTGATGTTACTCCTGAAATCGAAAGAGGCATTTGGAAGTTTGCGATGGTAGTTTCAGATGAAAATTCACTGTTAAAAGTTTGAGACTCAAGGCTTTTCTTTCTGATACCTACACGATGATTCATATCATTTTCCTAAAAAATTAAATGATCTTTAAAATGAGTTGGTAGCTATTATTGATCAGCTGTTTTATTCACATCTTTATTCCTTACAGTTTAAATTATATTCGTGTTTCGAATAACATTTAGTCCGATATACCTAAGAAGGAAACAATGACCATACAACAATAGAGGTAGAATCAAGATTTATCTCACTCGTGTCCTATTTTATATGCTTTTCCCGATTTTTATCTTCTCACTTGTTGATATTTTGCTGTGAGACCAAACAAAATCACGGTTGATCTGAATCTAACCTCAATAAACAACCAACAATTAATTCCATTCCTCATTTGAGAAGAGTGGCAGAAAATTTCAAATTTTTCGGGCAAATGAAAAAATCAGCCCTTCCTTGATTGTCTTTCGAAGTGTTTGGGTATACAAGCCACTTTAAATATCTTTAAGTCCCATAGACTATGACAGCCACAAATATTCAAGAAAAATAATTGACCATCGATAAAACTTGATGATCTAGACTTGAATGTCCCATGTATTGTGACATTACACTTTGATGTCCCATGTATTGTAACATTAGACTTTGATGTCCCATGTATTGTGACATTAGACTTTGATGTCCCATGTATTGTGACATTAGACTTTGATGTCCCATGTATTATAACATTAGACTTTGATGTCCCATGTATTGTGACATTAGAGTTTGATGTCCCATGTATTATAACATTAGACTTTGATGTCCCATGTATTGTGACATTAGAGTTTGATGTCCCATGTATTGGAACATTAGACTTTAATGTTCCATGTATTAGGACATTAGACTTTAATTTCCCATGAATTGAGACATTAAAGTCTAGATAAAATCCTTTTGCAACATATCAATTGATTATTCGAAAGCCCATACCTAATATCAATGATTCCTTTGCCATTCCTGATGATTGTTCCATTTTCGCAAAGATAATAGCGAACACAAGTACAGTTGGCAATTCTGGCACCATTAGTGTTGTTTCCAAAATTTGGTTGCAAATCTATGGCTGGTCCCACCGTACTCTCTTGTTGATTATTGTTTGTTGGTGGTTTTCCAAACACATTTTCTACTAAGGCGCTTAGGTTCCGCTGTTCGTGTACTGATGAAGAAAACAAAGACACCAGGAGTACAATAGACCAGGTAGGCGACATCTGAAAAACAAAATACGATTGAAAGTTATTCACATCCTAAATGTAACTATCCTTATTGTGGAACAAAAATAGAAAATCTGCAGGTGGAAGCCCATGTTCCTTGTACTTTTTGTCAGTTTGTATTTCTAAAATGTGGGTTTTAAATGAAAAATCTGCCGGTGTTAGGTCAGGTGGTCGTGTTGGTCCGCTGTGTGTAATTCAAATTTATCGCAATCATGGTTTTGTTGATGAATGAATATTTTCTAAGATAGTTGCAGGTAACACAAAAAAGTGGATTAGCGGCATTCAGGCCTAAGTGGCGCAGTAATTATCTCGACTGAAACAATACAAAATATATAATGAAACTACTTACTTTCTTGTGGTTCAATGAGTTACAACAAAGAGGAAATTTGTTACTTCCACCTCAATTCCAGCTAGTTCGGGCCTGGATATTTCCCGAGAAATATGACGTAGATATCGGTATTAACTAAATGAAGAGAAATTCCAAGAGTACTTATAGACGTCTACGTCAAGATTAATTGAATAAATATGGTTTAGTAAGCGAGGATGCTAGTGGGGACCGATGAGTTCAGAAGTTATCAGGTTTTGTTGTCATTATACTGTTTCTTTTTAGTTCTCAAGATGATTATTTTGTCAAAATTTCTACATACCATAACTTTTCAAACATTGAACAGATATTCAAGATATTCACTTTATTGTGGGGTTTCCACTGAACAGTTTAACAAAATCAACTAATATCTGTCTAGTTGGTGCTTCATATAATTCAACAACTTCAAGCATATGAACTTTGTCTACTTGGGATAAATATTTGTTATTCTAACAAACTTCAAATTTGAAACTTCCATTCCATTTTATTCCATCCTACCCCATACCATCTCACCCCACATAGCTGGTTAAGGAATCCAAATATACTCCACAAAACAATACACATTTCTAGAAACAATGAACCTAGAGAAACACCAACAAAAAGGATATTACCTATAAAACGTAAAATTTGTGCCATATGTACAGTGTGTCAATTTTAAAACTTACAAATGATCTATATCTCACGAACGAAAGCTGATATCGAAAAATGCTTGAAATTATTTCTAGGATAGTAATGGGGAACTAAGTGACATGAAAGAGAACTCACCCCCATCAACCTCCTAGGCCCTACCCACCAAAACACAAAAAGTTTAAAATGCAAACCCCTACTTGTGATACATAATTGTAAAGACTATGAAAAATGCTATCCAATGGTATAAATAATAATTGTACAGGGTGAAGCAATAATTGTAAATTGGGTACATTATTTTTCACATGGAGCAGAGCTTTATATATACAGATACAAGGTAACGTTAACATCTTGTTCTTGCAGAAAGCAGGTCTACATCAGCTATCCGTGGGTGCAATATTAAAGATAGTTCTAATTATTCTTTTTTGAACAATAAAAACACGGTTTGCCCCCACAGAAGAACCCCACATTAATACATTTTGAGCCATATGTGATACGCCAATGAATAGTAAACAGTCCTGATACCATCTAAACTAAGCACTTTCGAAGAACAAGAAAGTCTTGTGTCGCTAAAAACTATCTGAAATCAGTTGAGTTTGGTACATGCACTAGACTTTTTAATGCTTTAACTAGTGACATGAGAATTATGAAGAGTGACAAAGGTCCCATTCCAAAGAGTGACGAGAAAATTTGTACCAAATAAATCATTGATGTGTCACTGTTAGATATGAATAAGTAATATCTAGAGTACATGAAATGTTCCTTTCCACCAAACATCTTTGAAATACTTACATTCTGTACTGTTGTCAATCCAGTTGCGTTCTCTACCTGCGACTGATTATCCTTGTCACCCAGTACTTGAACTCTCTCCACGTACTCATTCCGACCTCTTTTGGTAGGGGTCGAGGTGAGGTTCGTGGGGAAGTCCAAAAGAAAGGAATTATCGTGAAGGTTACTGGTTTCAAGGAAGCCTGAGTCGGGCAGCGAAAACCCCGTGTGGGATGAGCTACATTGAAACTGGTTCTTCATTTCTAAACGAAGACAGATGTTGACGTATTGCGAAGTTTGCTCTCGTATGGACGAAATGGACCCTGAGCTGCTTGAAGACCAAGACGTGAGGACGTTCGTGTTGATTTTAGCTGTGTTGTAAATGCTGTCTGAAATGAAGAGAATATTTACTGGAAATGGAAATCTCTAAGAATTGGATGTTCAAAAATTATCATTTTCTTTTTCAATACCCAAATAATAAATGTTTGAGGTTTGAGACTGATTGCGCCATCTCCTGAGTAGAAGCTGAACTTTAAATGAATGAATGTTTGAGACTGATTGCGCCATCTCCTGAATAGAAGCTGAACTTTTTACACTTGTGGCTATTACCCAAGAGATGGCAGAATAGATCATTTCCTAAAAACTTTGTAACAGCAGCTGAAAATATGATTTCTTGGTAAGTATTGCAAATAAGTTCAATAAGCGATTTTTAATAAGTTTTTGAAGGTTATTATCAGATGAATCGAAAAATAAATTAACCGCTCAAAGAGGATTAGATATCGATGAAGAAACTTACTCGCTTTTACAGATACAGTATACTAAACTTTAATGAAATGTGTTTTCATTTTTCTTATAGCTTATATTTAGTATTTGCTGTAGACCGTCTACTGAGGATACTCTCTATTCTTGTTCGATTGATGACCTATTTATTTTATAGACATTCATATTGAATATAGAAAATAACTTTTGACCAATTTCTATCAGAACCGGTTTCGGTTTATTACATTTGTAAATGGTCTAAGGAACCCAAACCGCTCGTAGAAATAAGACAAAAGTTATTTTCTTCACTGTCCACTCTCTACTGTATTTGTAAACGTTTTGAGAGAATTATATTTCATTGAAAAAATAAGTAAAATTTTGATTTTGGTTCATTTGGTATTTGCTGAAGACCGTCTTTTGAGGACACTTTCCATTTTTCCGTGTTTGTAAGCGTTTTGAAAAAATAATTTTTAATTAAAAAAAAAAATGAGAAAAATTTTGATTTGTCCTGCTATCTCGTGAATAAAAGCTGAAACTTTCAATAATACAAAAGTGAGAAGAAACCTGTAATTTGAAACGTGGACGTCGATACAAAGTATAAAAGTTTAGTGTGGCTTCTGATCAAGAGATGGCAAAAGAGTTGTATATTTTTTAAAACGAAAGCATATTTTTTTTGTACGAAATTTCAAAATTTTGTTTGAATTTTTACCACAAATGAAGACTAGAACTGAAACTGGGTGTCAGTTCTGTCGCATAGACTTGGAAAATCTTCGTAAACAGTTACATTCGCTATTCAGCTTCTATTATTTCCGGTGGACTAGCAAAACAAAAAATTTCAATTTCAAAAGTTTTTGACAAACGAAAAACAAATATTAGACCTTGAGGATTTATTATTTGAACGATTTTAAAAAAGATATTTTTCACTTTCCATCGAAGTATTTTACTTTTTTTGTCCTGCCATCTCGTGAATAGAAGCTTTTTATATTAATCTGTATCTGAAAGAAATAATCATGGTCAAATCCATGCAAAAGAAAAAATGAGTACCTAGTTGTAGGCCCAAGAATGGTAAAAAAAAGGTAAATTTGGCAAATAAAAGTACTTTTTCTCATTATATCTTAATACAAAAAGGAAAGTAGTGAAATTTCATAGAAAAACATTTCTGTTTAACCAGTGGCGGCGCACAGTAAGTTAGTGTTAGTATACAATCCAGAATTATTTTATAAATCCATTAAATCCTTCAGACCATGGAAAAAGGAACAAAAATCTCATTAAATACGAAACAATAGGCATTTTAACAATTTACGATATTCACAAAAGAGAATTTTAGACAGCTTTTTCCAATTTATTGAAAAAGAAAGGAAATTTCATCGAGTGGTAGGAATTACTCAAAATTCTACACTCAAAAAATCATCACCAATTGTACTCACTGAAAAAAAAATGAAAAAATTCTTGTTTTAACCGAACCCCTCAAAAAAATTGATAATAAACGAAACCAAAATTAGTTATTACACTTACTTTCCTCTTCATATGAACGGTAGTGGAGTGAAGTTCCTAGATTGGGTTCGAAAAAATCATCTTCCATCAAGAAACTCAGGTTTTCTCTAACGAAGTCGTCGTCGAAAAAGAAAGGAAAATCTTCACACTCGTCACCCATTATCAAAACGCCAAAGGAAAAATTACAAACGACCACTGTCAAATTGCCACACCAAATGAACAAAATTCTGGCTTTTCCAACACCTTATATTCCAGGGCTTTGAGAAAAAAACTGCCACTTTTGATTTCCAAGTTAACTTGAAAGCGCGGCAAGAAGGGCGGCCGCCCTCAAAGTCGATTTATTCAAAGCAGCGGCTTCTTTAGCGGCAACTACAAAGGTTTTCGGCATGCGCCGGTGAAAAATTGAAAATTACCGACGAAATTTTATTGCTTTCGTAGAAAAAACTGTTGGGGAGTATTATTTTCGGGTTATTTTATGTTGGTTGGTTAGAGTAGAAAAATGATTTGAAGGGAGGACTGCTGTGATAAGAAAGTTTGATTTCTTGTATGTGTGTTTGTGATGAATGGACTCAAAACCCTATAGAAAGCGGATTTCCGAGGCATTTGACTAGATGATACATATTTGTTTTCATATGCAAAATTTTATTAATTCAAATTACTGACAAATTAGATTTTTCTTCAAAAATCTAATTTATCAAATGCTCTTTCTACGTTTGCATTTATTTTTAAATTTAATATTCTGATTACTTTATAGATCTGTAGAGGCAAACAATCCCAAATAAAAAACTATTTCACGATAAGTATTTCAATTATCTTCCTATCATACAGAATAAATCACTGGAAAATATATATTAATACCCTCAGTCCGACGCCTATGAATACTACCTTCAACGCAATTTGAGAAAAACCGTCGGCCGCCTCTTTTGATGTTGTTTGTCGCAAGACACTATTTTAATGGCTCCTCAGCGGCGTCCTCAAGGCGCGTAGCGGGTAGAAATATCTCAGTGACTTTGTGGATGAATCGAAGTGCCACTTGCTTGAGACATGTACCGCCATGTTTTCATTCTTGAAATGTTTAACTCTCAGACAATACCGAATGGACTATAGAGGATGCAAAAGCAAGTGACTTTTTCAATTGAGTAAAAAATACAGAAGTTAAATATTTGATTTCTTTTCATTTGATATCAGCCCTTCATTTCTGTTCATAGAACAGTGCTCTGCAATGTTCTATACAGTGCATTTCTTTAATGTCCCCTCCCACTTTTATTTTTTGAACCCGTTCAAAATATAAGGGGGGGGGACATTAAAAAAAAGCACTATATATCAAAATTGTACT